AATCATCAGATGAGGTTGGAAAATACTGAATGAGGAGTCAGGATAAGTTACTTTTTTTTAATAAGTCATAATCTGTTGAAAAGCCTTCAGTTTTTTCATCTGAAAATGAGGGAGTGAGATAATTGATTTCTAATATTTATTTAAAACATCTGTCATTTTGTCATGTTAGTTACATTGTATCTCCTTAACCTCCAAAGTATTTAAGAAGAGTTGTGAATGGTACATGATGCTACATGTTTTGAAAGCTGTGATGCTCAGTAATACTTAAACTTTTATGTTCATGATACTCCACACACAAGTTGTTAAAATCTTGTGAATCGAGATTCACCCAAGGAGACTTTTTGAAAACATGTATGTGTATTTCCAAGCCGGGTCTCTCAAAGATTCAGCGTTAGCATATCATTTTTGAAATGCTTCTTTATACTTTTTGCTTGTTTCTACATTTCTTTAACTGTAAAAGGAACATGTTAGTGTGGTGTGATTTAGGAAATATGACAGATACAAAGTAGAAAGGAGGGAACTTCATAATATCATCACTTAAGGCAAATCTTGTTAATATTTTAGTGTTTTTTTTTTACTTTTTTTCTCTAGTTTTTCATGGATGAATTTATATTTTATGTACAATTTTCCATTTTTTGTTTCTCAGAAGCATGTTACAGTATCACATAAAATACTTCTCACACATCACTTTAAAGTTTATGTAACCTGTGCTGTGCATTGTTTAATATCACGTGAAGTGTAGTTCTCATCATTACTGCTACCACCATCATCCTTATTTTTACCTTTATTTTACCAAGTGAGCCAATAGGGTCAGAGAGTTTCAATGAATTGTCCAAGATTATATATCCCCCAAAATGACAAAGCCTCACAGCCCTGTGATATAGGTTACTTTTATTAGTTCCATTTTACAGACAAGGAAATTGAGGCACAGAGTTTGTCGCAGTTAGTAAGAGATAGAACTGGAATTAAACCCAGGAAATCTGATCCAAAGCCTACACTCTTAATCTAGAATGTAGATTAAACTTGCCTCAGAGTTCAAAAAATAAGTTGATAAGAGGTGCTTTTTAAATGCAGTGTTTATCAAACATCTGTTTCTGAAAAGGTCTTTATGAAGGCTGTACTCTTTTCTAAATTGCAAGACTAAAATAGTCAAGTTTATTCAGTATTATAAACTAGAACCTAGTTCTATTTTTTGTTTATCTCTAATCTCTAAGTTATTTTATATGCTTTAAATCACATGGTTAAAGTTCTGTAAGTCAAGTTTTGTTATTTTATCTTTAATTGCTGCAGTTTTATTGATGCTTTAGATTGAATGTAGTTAGTAGTGAGTTTCTAGTTTCCTCTGGTTTTTTTTAAATGAGTGAACATAGTTTTGTTCAAAATTTATCCCTGAGGTTCTAAAAAGCCTAAACACCTACTTCTGCTTACAATAGAAAGCAGGTCCTTAAAAATGAAACGATAAATTCTACTCAAGTGTCAGCTGTCTGAGTATGTAGAAGTTTAGTACTTATGTAAAAGATTGTCATTGATTGTCCAGGTGCCGATGAGGTTATAAGACTTACTTTGAATCCCAGCACATGCTAGGGTAGCGGAATTCTCAAGTACAAGCTAGGAGACGGGGATTTTGGAAGTGATCCTTGGTCAAGTCATTTGAGAGCTTTTGTTCTTCTATTGTTGTTTTTTTAACTATTAAATCAGAATTATAATAGCTTTTGCTCCTTTCTCAGAATGTTGTTATGTGGAACAAATCAGGTAGGATAGTATTCTGGAAAAATAAGAAACACTAAACTAGTTCAGAGCACTACCATACATATTGTCATTGTTGTTCAGATAAGAGTTTCTAGACTGTCAGTTTGATTTTCTGATGAAAATGTAGTTCTGAGGTTAAATCCAATTATATTTATCTGAGGTGTTTGTTTACATTGTACTGTTGCACTAGGATTTTGTTGTATTCAGTGTTTCTTGAAATGTTTGCCTAAGTAGAGGGCTTATATTTGCAAATCATTTGAACTTTGTGACTGTTGATAAAAAAAGAATAGTGATTGTATTAGAAATTTCACTGTATCAATGAATTTATAATAAAACGTGCAGTATATAGTTCATAGCTATAATA